GAGAGAGAGCTAGTGAGAGAGAGGGGGGCAGAGAGAGCTAGTGAGAGAGAGGTGGGGACAGAGAGAGCAAGTAAGAGAGGGTAGAGAGAGCTACAAGCTGGGACGGCAGCTGTGTCAAGGTCTCAGGTGTGCACGTAATGGGGTCAGCGGCGGGTGTCGGGACCTGTTGATGGAGGTGTGGGGCGGCGACAAAGTGCAAGCGCCCCCCTCGCCTTTGTGCGCGCGCGCGCGAGTTTTTGAGGAAATGTGAAGATTTTTGCAAAATGCGCGGCGCGCCGCCGAGCCCATGTTGCGCATTCCAGGGACGGGTGAGAGAGCGTGTGTGCAGCGGCGCGGGTTTTCTCTCTCTCTCTCTCGTCGAATGCGATTGAATCGGTTTGCGTGCGCACCTCGTCTCGTGTGCCACGCTGTTACCTTGCAGTTTGAACGGTAAGAGCGTTCTGTTTGCGGCTAGGTCTGACCAGTTATAGCTCGTTTATACGTAGCTTCTTTCTGTTCAGGCGCAATTGCTGTATTTTTTCCGTCACATTGGTTAAAATGTCGTTACGTGGGTATCGGTTTATGAAGTTGACGTTGTGTAAATGTCATCGTGGGAAGATAATCTTTGAGATTATTTACTCATGATAACACCCTTCCGGGAGACTTTGGTTGTGGATTGCATTCCCAAGATAATGTGATACGGAGAGAATTTCCTATTATCTTGTGCGCCAGTGCAGTTCATTTTAACGTATCATTTACGCTTCAGGCAATCATTTACGCGAATGAAATTCTGTAGAAAAAAAGTAGGGATAGTCGTAAAATAGACATAGCGTTTACAGGTGTGTGATATGGAGATCATTAGCGACAAAATAAGTACTGTAGCGATGATTGTGAATCCTCAAGCCATAATATTTACACAGTGTCTGTGCGAGGGGAATTTATCCGTAATTTTCTTTCGTGCCAAATGGTGAGTGATTTTACGTCAACATTACCCAATTTGCAAACATTTAGATGCAGCGATACGCCGATATCGCAATCAAACAATAACTGATGACCAGGATATCATGTGTATTTGCTATAATGTGTTATTGCTAGAAGCTCATAATTTGCCAACTTTTATAACGTTCTAATTTCATCAAAGTAGCTGTAGGCCTATAGCCTAGCAGTGTAGCACGGCCACGCACTACAGAGCTGAGTTTTCTATCTATATAATATAGTGGTATACCCTCGCGGTGATAGCCGTTTGATTGTATCCCGCAGTCGTCATCGTCCAAAATACTTTATAAAGTTGTAAGCAATGCAAGCGATTAGTTAACCAATTTATATATTTTTTTAATTTATATATATGTGCGTGCGTGCATATAAAGTATTAAAAGTCCAATAATCAAATGTAATATCATCAAGATTATTCTCGCGCTCATCTGACAATGATGCTGATCGCCTGACATGATCGTTTCGGCAGGCCGGCGTCCTGCGTCCGCCTGGTCGACGACGGCAACGGCAGCGTGAACGTCGGCGTTATTTATTGTTTGCGCGCGTGCATCGTTGTCGGACGTCGCAGCGAGGCAACGTCACCGACATCCGGCCTTCCGTTAACAATAGAACGTTTCGTTTATCCGCGCGTCGCTCGCGTGTGTGCGCCGCGTCCTAATGACGCCGGTTGCGGTGGAGAGGTGAAGGCGATCATCCCGGGGGGATCGAAGGGCAGTGGCTGAAAGCAGACGTGTCGGATTTACTCCTAGGGTGGAATGTACGTACGTTCGATGGTCCGGCTTGGAAACAGTTGTGTTTTTCGGGTTCACCTACAGTGTTGCATTAGTAGCAGCGGATGAGCGCTGTTGAACTGAGGCACTTATGTCGCTTACTCACAATTATCTATCAAGGTAGTTTCAGTGACTAACGAGTCTCGACATATAATTATCCTTATTATTATTACTCTCGTTTTACATTCTTTATGTTGTTTTACTGTGGTTTAAATTGGTGATTCATCTATCTGCTTACAGAATCAGTCGTGTCTCCTGTGTCTCTCTCGACTTCGTGCATGCCTCTAAAAAGCCTTACACACATCTATCTGCTTACAGAACCAGTGTGTGTGACCTGTGTGTGTCTCTCATACTGTCGTGGCATGCCTCTAACCTTACACACATCGTAATCTGCTTACAGAACCAGTGTGTCTGGACGCTGTGTCTCGTCTCTACTGTCCGTGCAGTGCTCTAACCGTTTACACACATCTATGCATGCTTACAGAATCAGTGTGTGTGAACCTGGTGTGTCTCGTCTACTGTCGCATGCTCTAAACCTACACATAGTCTATCTGCTTACACAGAACCAGTGTGTTGTGTGTGTGACTTGTGTCCCTCTCTACTGTCGTGCATGCTCTAACCCTTACACACGATCTTTCTGCTTACAGAATCGTCAGTGGTGTCTGACCTGTGTGTGTCTCTGCACTGTCGTGGCATGCTCTAACCTTAACACATGTCTATTCTTGGCTTACAGAAATCAGTTGTGTCTGACCTGTGTGTGTTCTTTACTGTCGTGCAATGCTCTAACCTTACACGCATCATCATCTGCTTACAGAATCAGTGCTGTCTGACCTGTGTGTTGTCTCTCTACTGTCGTGCATGCTCTAACCGTTACACACATCTATCCTGCTTAACAGAATCAGTGTGTCCTGACCTGTGTGTGTCTTTACTGTCATGCATGTCTAACCTTACACATGTCTATCTGCTTAAGAACCGTGTGCTGACCTGTGTGTGTCTCTACTGTCGTGCAGCTCTAACCGTATACACATGGTCTATCTGCTTACAGAATCAGTGTGTCTGAACCTGTGGTCTGTGCTCTCTTACTTCGTGCATGCTCTTAACCTTACACATGTCTATCTGCTTACAGAATCAGTGTGCTCTGACCTGTGTGTCTCTACTGTGTGCCCGAGCTCTTAACCTTACACATGTCTATCTGCTTACAGAATCAGTGTGTGTGACCTAGTGGTGTGTCCTCTCTCTGTCGTGCATTCTAAACCTTACACATGTCTATCTAGCTTACAGAACCAGTGTGTCTGACCTGTGTGTGTCTCTGCTACTGTCGTACATGCTCAGCCTTACCACACGTCTATCTGCTACAGAAATCAGTGTGTGTGACCCCTGTGGTGCTCTCTCTCTACTGTCGTGATGCTCTAGCCCTTACACACGTCTTACATTGTTACAGATCAGTGTGTGTGACCTGTGTGTGTCTCTCTAACTGTCCGTGCACGCTCTAAACCTTACAACAAATGTCTAATCTGCTTTACAGAACCAGATGTGTGTGACCTGCTGGTGTGGTCTCTAACTGTCGTGCATGCTCTTAACCTTACCACACGTCTATTCTGCTTACAGATCAGTGTGTGTGACCTGTGTGTGTCTCTCGTACTGTTCCGTGATGCTCTAACCTACCACATGTCTATCTGCTTACAGAACAGTGTGTGGACCTGTGTGTGTCTCTACTGTCGTGCATGCTCTAACCTTACACACGTTATCTTGCTTAGCAGAATTCAAGTGTGTGGTGACCTGTGTGTGTCTCTCTACTTCGTGCATGCCTCTAACCTTAACACATGTCTATCTGACTTACAGAATCAGTGTGTGATGACCTGTGTGTCTGTCGTTTACTGTCGTGCATGCGCTAACCTTACACACATCATCTGCTTACAGAACCAAGTGTGTGTCGGCGGCCGGGTGAGAAAGCCAGACCGGCTGTTCTGCTGCTGCTCGGGGGACCGCTGCAACGCGGACAAGGTGTTCCTTCAACCCGTCCGTGCTGACGGAGACGCAGGCCACGGCCACCGTAGAGGCAACCACAGGTATGTGCATGTGGTGGGAGCCGGGGGGGGGGCAGGGGGACGGGGGGGAGGCAATCGGCTTGTGTAGCAGTGAAAAAAATACCACTGGGGCTCTCCGCGGAGGGGGGGTGTGCGATTGTTTTCCCTGTTGTGTAGGGGGTGGAAGTGGAAAGCAGGGGGGATGTAAGGCACATAGTGGTAGCGTGCATAGGGAATGGCCTGTGGTGTGGCAACCACCACAGGTGTGCTAGCAGGTCGGGAGCATGGCAGGGGGAGCATGAGCAGTGGGGACAAATATCGATGTGACTACCCTGAGAGATGTCAGCATTACTTGTTATATCGTCACTTGTTATAACTTGTGTAGGTGCGAGCTCATCATCACTAGTTATAATAATAATTATAAATATAAAAATAAAATAAAAATCATAATAATAATTATAATAACTTGTGTATAATAATAATCGGTGTGTTGTTGTTTGGTTGTTGTGTTAGGTTGCGAGCATCACCAGACCACGCTCAACATCACTTGTTATAATAATAATTATGATAACTTGTATATAATAATAATCGGTGTGTTGTTGTTGTTGTTGTTGTGTAGGTGCGAGCAACCAGCACACGCTCAACATCACTTGTTATAATAATAATTATGATAACTTGTATATATAATAATAATCGGTGTGTTGTTGTTGTTGTTGTGTAGGTGGAGCAACCAGCACACGCTCAAACATCGCTTGTTATAATAATAATTATGATAACTTGTATATATAATCAATAATTCGGTGTGTTGTTGATGTTGATGTTGGAATGTTGTCTTGTTGATGTTGATGTTGATGTTGATGTTGTTGTTGTTGTTGTTGTTGTGTAGGTGCGAGCAACCAGCACACGCTCAACGCGCTGCTCTACACGATCCTGCCTCTCGTCGGCCTCGCCCTCCTCGTAAGCATCCTCTTCTGGCTCTACCGCCGCCACAAGCTGCAGTACCAGATGGCGCTGCCGACGCACGACCACGGTGCCCGCCGTCGCCGGTCCACCAGACCGAGCTGCTGCAGAACCTGCAGCTGATCGAGGTTAAAGCCAGGGGGCGCTACGGTGCGGTGTGGAAGGCGCTGCTCGGCGAGGCGTACGTCGCCGTGAAGGCGTTCCCGCTGCAGGACAAGGCGTCGTGGTTCCGCGAGCAGGAGATCTACAACATGCCGCACATGCAGCACCCGAACGTGCTGGCGTTCATCGGCACCGACCGGCGTGGCGCCAACCTGCAGACGGAGCTCTGGCTCATCACCACCTACCTGGAGAAGGGATCGCTCTGCGACCATCTCAAGTCGAACCTGATCACGTGGGCTGAGCTCTGTCATATTGCGCGCACGATGGCGTGCGGCCTAGCGTACCTGCACGAGGAGCAGTCGGCGACGAGGGACGCCGCCTACAAGCCGTCGATCGCGCACCGCGACTTCAAGAGCAAGAACGTGTTGCTGAAGGACGACCTGACGGCCTGCATGGCTGACTTCGGGCTCGCGCTGCCGTTCGAGCGCAACAACAGTCGCCCGGCGATATACACTGGCCAGGTAGCGGGGGAAGCAGGGGCTTCACGT